AAGAGCGTCTGCTCTGTGCCCAATGGAAGGCTCTGGATTTAAGGAGAATAAATTGTATCTGTGTTTTACTGAAGAGTCCAACTGCTGCTGCAGTAGAGGAGCCCTCGCTCGTGCCGTGGGCCCCTGGCTGGGCCGTGGGGCCCAGCATGGGTGAGTGGAGGCCCGGCGGCAGGTGGTGGCTCCCACCAGAGGAACGGGATGGAGTGTTAAAGTGCTCTCCAGCACCAGCTAACCCTGGTATTTCTCATCTGGCCCTTGAGGGTCGAGCTCTCATGGTGGGGTTGTGGTCGCATGGCCTGCAGCCCGACCCTGGTCTGTAACGTGAGGTGCGGTGAGAGGGAGAGCGGAGGACGTGCATGGCGCGAGGTCCAGGTCCGCACCCAGACTTCCCTCTGGCCAACTTAGGAGTGGCCTAAGGCCATTGGCTCACGGCCACTCAGGGTGGTGTGCTAGACTGGGGCTGGTGCGGGAGGAAGCCACTGAGTTTCTGGGCTTTGGCAGCAGCGAGACCACTAGGAGAGGCCCTATCCCAATGCCACCTCCAAATCATTGGACGCTTCAGCAGACTGTGCTTGGCAAGGTCCTGCCTGCTCCTCCTTGTCTCCAAGCACTCCTGCCTCAGTTCCCAGACGTACAGATGGTGAACTCGACCTCTGGCCACGGCTCAGTCCCGCCTCACACGTGCCAGGACTGGCACCGCTCCAGAGGCAGAGCTGGGGAAGAGGCAGTTCCTCTGAAGATCCTACAGGGGGCAGGCCCAGGGGACCCTCTGCTCTCTGCAGCAGAGGGGGCTCAGACACCCCCAGACGCTGGGATAAGAATGTTCAGGAAAAACAGGAACAGAAGAGCAAGCGGGGGGAGAGCACCAGACAGAAAGGCCCGTGTCCTCCCACCTCTGCCGCTCTGGGGACAGTCACCGCTCTGGATCGCCACGTGGGCGACCTCGAAGGCCATGCTCACGCGCTCCCTCCCGAGTCTGACTTCTGGATAGAGCAGGCTGCAAAACCTGCAGTGCATTCTGCCCTACCATGCTGCGGTCCCACAGTTGGGTTACCGTGGCCACGGGCTGGCCGGGTGGACGGCTGCCTCACCTGGTGTGGCTGTTGGAGGACAGGCTCTCCCAGGGCTGCGCGCTGCAGCCGGCCACAGCGAAGGTGCCGCAGCTGCCGTCCAGCTTCAGCAGCAGGGCTCTGGCGGCGTTCTCGGCCGTCTTCCGGCAGTCGTGAGCGCGCTTGAGCATCTGAGTGATGTTCTCGTCCCCGGACTGGTCTACACCACAGAGAGCAGAGATCAGCGCTGCAGCCGACACGGCCAGGCCGGGCACCGCAGGGGTGGCACGGTGGAGAGGGGCCCATGGTGGCGCCAGCTGGGGTGTGCGTCCTGGGCCTGGCTCCTCCGGCCGGGAGCGGTGCTGGGGGAGGCATCCTCTGCTCTGGGTGCAGCCGCCCTCATTGGCAATGGAGGCGTCACCAGTGTGACCCACAGGTCTGTGGCACGCTGCAGTCGTCTAAGCCAGGCGCCTGGCCTTTCCTGCCACCAGCCAGGGGTCTGCTGCTGATCCTGCTTCCCTGGACCAGTCCTGCTCTGTGAGGTCAGGGAGACACTGAGGCGACGCACCCAATGCCTGCACCCCAGCTTGGGTCGGCACTTTGTGGGCTGGAGAGACAAAGCCAGTCCTGATGGGAACCGCACAGGGACTCTGGACCTTCCACACTGACCCTGCCCCGCCGTCCTCCCAGCTGGGCAACACGGTGCACCCACACGCCTCCAGGGACTGGTGACAGGAGCGGGAAGCTGGGGGTGCTCGCCAGCACACAGCCAGGCAGCGAAGGCCCTGCCGCGATGCTCGTACCTGTGTTTGAAAACTGCTGGAAAAGGGCGAGACCATGGTGGGAACGAGGGAGGAGCCTGCGGGAGCCCGGAGGATGTAGGGCAGTGAGACCGCCTGTGCAACCCCCCGAGGGCCGACATGCCAGGGTACGCGTCTAGACCACCACGTGTGCAGCCCTAGGAGTGGGCCCCGGTGTTGGTGCAGGGCTAGGTGGCTGCCACGTGTCACCCTTCTGATGTGGCTGTGGCGAGTGGGAGAGGCCGTGTGTGTGGGTCAGGGGCGGAGGAGGCAGCTCAGCGCCTTTCTCTTTCGCGAGAATCTAAAGCTGCTCTAATCAGTGCTGGCCAAACAGGCCGGTGGTTTGCCACCTGCACAGACAGGTCACACCCTTCCAAATGTGGCCCCTGAGACTGCCGGGCATGCGTACTGGGAGGCCGACTCCACCCAGGGACCCGGCACCCCGGCTAGGGCGCTGGTGGTGGGCACCTACACCCAGCTTCCACGTCCAGCCCGCAGCTGAGGCCCCACGAAGAGTCCCACTTCTCACGGCACAGCTCGAAAGCTGCTGGCCTGGGTCACCTGGAGTGAACGTCGCGAACGCCTGTGAGGTTGACGAGAGACATAGGAACAAGCCCACAGTGACGGGTACTGCGCGTGCGTGTCACAGACTGTGGTCATGCATGGACGAGAAATTCTGGGTGGCGACAGGCCACACGTTCGACTGTGGCTAGGATGCCCGACGAGCTGGACCACACAGCCCAGGTGTGTGTGTGTGGGAGGGCCCGAGGCATGGCGAGTGCGCTCCCAGAGGGCGTGAGGCGACCCAGTCACCGGACTGCACTTCTCAGGCGTACCCCACGGTCACGGCTGAGGGCTGGGCTGGCTTTGCTGAGCCACGGCCACCTGGCACACCGTGGGGGGAAGGGACAAGCCCACGGCCCCGTCAGCTGAAAACCGGGCTGGCGCTCGGCGGGAAGCGGGCGGTGAGCACTGCAGCCCAGCCTCCCGGGGCCTCCCTTGGGCCAGTTCTGACAACTTTAAAGTGCCCCTCATTTCACACGCACGGCGCCCACTGCGGCATCTCCATCCCGTTATGATGTCGGCACGACCTGAGGGAGCAGCTCATCCTGTAAACACGCTTGTGAGCTACCTGCTAGAGGTAGGTACGAAGCATGCTGCTACTGGTTTTCCATGTTTTCAGTGAAGGCTGATTTAAGTCCTGCCAGCTCCAGCCAAGAAATGGCACTGCGTGGACACGAGCCTAGAAGGCACCGTCCAGGGACGGCCTAACTGGAAACAAGGTGACTGGTCTCCCCTGTAACCGATCTTTTCCCTGATACATATGCATATGTGAAGCCCTGACGGCAGGCCAAGGTCATCCCAGGATCTGTCTCATACGAGGGATGAAGTTCAACTGCGAGGCCGTGAGAGATGCGGCTCCTAACGGTTACGCTGGCAGCCACGTCCCGGCCGGGGTGAGGAGCCCCGGAGGAGGAGCAGGGACAGAGGTGGCCATGGGGCTGGCTCCCTGGTCAGATGCAGGGACAGGACACAGGAAATGAACACCCAAGACATGCCCCTCCCTTCCGATCTGCCCATAGCCTCGTTCTGCAGAAACGGGCACCGACAGGGACACCTCCTGAGGGCTCCCGATGATGGTGACAGCTCTGGAAGGTGTCTCTGGAGGGACCAGCCTAATGGAAGTTCACCACTCAAAGTTGGGCCATGGCAGATGGCAGCGGGCCTGGTACCCCGGAAGGGGCTGCCAGCCGCCTGCATGGCTCGCGTTTGCTCAGGAGCAGTGTGGGCACGTCCGCTCTCGTGCCTGCGCCAGCACCTCTGTGGAGACCGCAGCTCAGGCGCCCAGGCCTCGCTCACTGTCCCCTGGGGCACTGTTTCCCGTCCTCCTCACACGACCCCCAGCCAAGGGTTGGCAGCCCCGAGGCCACACTTACCGGGGGAGGACCCCACGCCGGCGGCCCGGATCTGCCCCAGGATGAGGCTCTGCTCGCTGTCAGCCAGCGCCAGGAGGAGTTCGTAGGCCTCGATGCACTGCTCGCTGCAAGGGAAGCACACGCGGCTCAGCTCCGGCCCAGGCCCTCCCGGCCAGGCTCTCCCCGCAGGCAGCCTGGAGAACCGCCGGCCTCACCATCCACCCTCGCACGGGAATCACGCGAATGCTCCCTGGGCCGCTCCCTTATGCTGTCCTTTGTTAACTTTCAACTAGGTTCTAGAAGAATCTATGGGAAGCCAGAGAAGTGGGAAAAGGAAGTTTGCTGTCCCTTTAGTAATCTGCTCACAGGGAAACACTGTACACCCAGGGCGCGCAGGCTCCGAGGTGGCCCCCCAGTCCCACAGCCTGAACCCAGGCCCTGTGTGGCCCCTTCCACACGGAGGCAGGGTGCTGGGTCTGGGTGACCAGGGCATGGGGAGGCAAGGGGCAGGCCACTAAACATGCTGGTCCCTCTCTCGGTCACTGTGTCTTCCTTCTTCACCCGAGGCTGTCTACGAAGGGCCCCTGTGCCGAGGAACTGGCACTGCCAACCAGCGGCCTGGCGGGCGGAGGCCGCTGCCTTCTCAGAAGCAGACCCTCGGCCCCCGCTCAGGTCTCGGATGGTGGAGTGCTGCCCGGGGGCCTGGCCAGGAGAGACCTTGGCCAGAACGCCCAGCTGAGCCACTGGACTCTTACCCCGGCCCTGTGACAGCCTCACTGGTCATACACACGAACGTGACACCTAAGAGGAGATTCTGGCCGACACCGGGCCTGACCAGTAGGTACTTACATTTACAACTTGGAGGCTAAGTAAAATAAACACTGAGTCCCTCTACCGTAGAGCCAGATTCCACGTTAACACGTGGTTACCACACAGGGCAGCGTGGACGGAGAATGGGTGCGTTCCTCCAGAAAGTGGTCAGACTCACAGAACACTCAGGCCTTCACAAAACGTCTGGCATCTCCCCATTCAAGGGGGGTCATATTTCAGGCCAGAGGCGTGAGGGCGTTGCTTCGCCCAAGGATGTGCTCAGAAAATCTCCAACATGCGTGCTCACCACAGAGACACAGAGAGAGAAACCACCCCCCGGGGGGAAGAGCCAAACTGCAACCCCTTCTTTTCTATTCTCTCAGAATTTGGGGCATGCATGCTCACTTGCCAGGTACGATTTCCCAGGCCAGCAGGCTAGGACTTGAACTGTGCAACTAGCTATGTGGGCTCTGGCTGCCCTAACGGCCAAGCCATAAGTTTTCTGATCCAAAGCCGGCTGCAGTCAGAGAAAAGCACATTTCGAAGTTTCTGCTGGTAGGTGTTCGGCCCTCTCTGGTGCGTCTGTCAACTAGTGCGATTGCTCCCTAGCTCTGGTTTCACATGTGGGTTATTTTGTTTCTGAGACACCTTTCTTAGAGCAATACCGACTTGGAGCCAGCAGGTGGTGCGGTGGTCAAGGAGTGGGGCCCCCAGGTCTGAAAGACCCGAGGCTTGCTTTCTCACTCTCCCTGTCCCTCTCTGGTAAGTGCATGTGCCCTGTAGCAAATTAAAAAATAATAATAAATAAAATTAAATAAATAAGAAACCCAAAACAATACTGAACTTCTTTTCTTTTTGAGAGATTTTTTTCACTATAGGGCACGTGCGCTCACCAAACAGACAACCATACTGAACTTCTTAGAGGGCAAGAGGGCACCCCGAGTAACATACAGTCAGCAGCTCTGAGCTCTTGGTGGAAGTGGTGAGGTTAGTGAAGGCAATGGAAGATGATGATAAACAACAGCAATGTAGCTTCAAAAAGTGTCACAGTAATATGTTGGGTTGTCAGGAAAGTCAGGCCGCATTTTTGCACAGAAAAATACGTCACAGGGAACCAGCAGTTAGCGTAATGGCTATGGCGCTGGACTCCCACGTAGTTGAAAGCAGTTCGCGTCCCGGACCAGGTGGCTTAAAACTCACACCGGGCACGTGTGTGTGCGTGCCCGAGATCCCGAGAGGAGAATGGAGGAGAAGGGATTGTGGCGTGACCATCCCCCCTGGGGGGTGATTTCTCGCTTTCTGTCTCTATGTCTCTCTCTGTCTGTCTGGTGAGCGCACGCGCCCTATAGTGAAAAAAATCTCTCCAAAAAAAAAAAAAAAAGTCACAACTTTGCCGACAACAAAACAGAATGAGACTTCTACCAGGGCTGTGGGGGCAGGAGCGAAGGGGTCCACTCACAGACCAATGAATGGGCTGCAGCCATTTAAGCCAGCTCGTCTCCATGGGAAAAATGACCTGCGAGTCTGAAGAGCCATGACAGTGGTCTACCAGGGGCCATCAGGGGGCATCGTGGGTGGGGAGCTTGACTCCCACCACGGTTTAAGTCCTGGACGTGGTGGCGGGCTTTCTCACTTTCCTTCTCTTTCTGGGTCTCTCTGGTGAGCGTGTGTGCCCTGTAGCAATTTTTTTTTTTTTGAGAAGTTTTTGCTATAGGGTGCATGTGACAGAGAGAGACAGAGAGACAGAAAGTGAGAAATCACCCCCCAGGGGGGACGGCCATGCCGCAATCCCTTCTCCTCCATTCTCCTCTCGGGATCTTGGGCATGCACACACACACGCCCAGCATGAGTTTAAGCCACTGGGTCCAGGACTCGGACTGCAGTCAGCTACATGGGAGTTCAGTGACATAGCCATTATGCTAATTGCTGATCCCCCTGTAGCAAATTAAAAAAAAAAAAGATAAAGATAAATACAATTAAATAAATAATTCTTTAAAAAAAAAGAATGAAAGAAAATGGTCATTTTTTGACCTATAATTCCCGCTCCAGAGACTCATTTCAAGGAAAATGCTCAACAGAGTGAAGACTCTATCCTTACTGAATTATTCACCACAGGATTATGTTCAATAGTGAAAGTCTACAAAAGCCTAAATCCCCCTTAGAGAAGACGATAAAACACTATATACACTTGATGCAGGGGACACAGTCATTCCAGAAAAAGAGAAACTGCCAAAAAATGTTAAAAAAAAAAAACCCAAGTGTGATGAAACGAGGAAACAGGATGGCCTGGATTTACAGCCACACGAAACACGTATGGCTCCATATTCATCTCGGTCTGCAAGGATGAGTCAGCAGAGGCAGGGAGGTCAAGGCAGCTGGATCCCACATGGCAGGGTCATAGTTTGAGTCCCATATCTGGCAGGCTTAGTGGAGAGGAGAAGGGAGAAGAGCCTGCACTGTGGCCATCTCCCCGAGGGGAGATTTCTCTCTCTCCTCACGTGCCCTATGGCAAAAAAAAAAAAAATAAAAAATAAAAACAAAAAAAACCCAGCACGCACAACAAAAGCATATGCAGTGCGAGGCTTTGCGGTGGTCACTCAGAAGCGGGGACCCTGCTAGGCCACACTCATTACCCTATGTCTTAGCTGCTCCGGGGCCACTCACTGGCTCTCGGATGTCCCACACCGGTACTTGCTGGCCTGGCGCCTGGAGCCTTCGCGAAGCCCGCCTCTCTGCTGTGGGCCCTGCGGCCGGTTGCACGCCAGCGCGCCCACCTGTACTGCAGGGCCAGCCGCAGCGCCGTGGCGTTGGACTCGTACTTCCCGACCAGCATGCTCATGCGCTCTGCGTTGCTCTTGCACTCCTCCAGGGTGATGGTCAGGAGGTCGTTCTGGGACTTGAGGTGTTCGATCCGGCTGCAGAGAACAGAAGCACTCCGCACTGGGTCATGAGTACCTCGCCACGTTCGCGAATCTCACGTACACGCGGCTAGAGGCGCAGGCTCGGAGGCCAGCTTGGCAGGCGTTTTTAGCAAATTTAACAAACGCAACATAACCGGGGAAGTGACTCAATAGAAGAATCACTAAGTTCTCTGTGAATGAAAAGTAAAAACTTAGCCCTTCGCTACTGCCCACCCAGCCAGTGGCAACCCCGCGCCACCTCCTCCTGTGGCAGACCCTGTGCAAGGCTCCGGCATCGCTCAGGAAAGGAGGCAGCTCATGGCGGGGGCCCCCCCCGGGG